CGAGTTCTAACATAAAAAAGATTAACCGTACAATTTAAAAAGTGGTACAAAAGGGTTGAAGACGTTTTCAGAGATAAAACTTGACTTGGTACTTGATACGACATTTGAACTGAAAATTGTTTCGACTTTTACGAAATATCTTTTACATTGTCAAATAATTGATTGATAGATTTTTTTCTATTGTTAGTTTCATGTGTAATTTTAATACAAATCAAAAAACACAGCATTATTAGCATAATGTAACATTTTTTGATAAATTTTATTTCAAAATGTTTTTGCCTTTCACAATAATCCAAAATGACTTGTGAAGAGACTCAAAATTCACTTACCTTGGCTTAGCATCTATTTGAAAACATTTATTTTACGATTTTGCTAAATTATTATCTGAGGGTGGTTATTATTTTAATAAACACTTTAGTGCTGTTTTAGGTGGGATACCATGTGGGAGACGATAATTAAACTGTGTGGGATGCAACCACAAGTAGTTTCTGGTTGAAACATATTTTCAAGCTGTTTTAGTGTAATTAGTCGGATGTATTGCATGGCCGGAAATCACCATATATAAAAGGCCGGAAAAGTCAATTATTCTGCACTCATTACCCTTTTTAATTAAGTCCGGCTCTAAGATTTTGACAGATTGTTCAATATTTAACAAAAAATTTCCCTTGAGACTCACTTTTTAATGTAAGATCTTAACTATTTGCTAAAACCGGTTTGATTTAATTAGCTGACATATAATCAGCCCCATTTTTCTTCAGTCTAGAGATTTTTAATGAATTTAGCTACGGCAAAGTTGACTCTACGAAGGATAAATATATTTTAAGCATCGACATGCAAACATCATCGAGGACAAATATACCCAAGGTCGAGTCGGCAAGGATATCTAAATTTACGTCGTTTTTCCCATTGTAGCTCTATTTGGTTTGTGCATTAAACAGAGCTGGTGCAATTAAGAACATGAGCCTTGACGTAACTTTGAGAGTATTGCAAACAAAGGGCTGTTCTATTATGCATGGACGGTTCAAATCGAGCCGAGCTAGGTGTTGATGGAAGCTTGGCTTTGACCAAATTGAAAATTTTCAACGAATTTTCTTCGGTTCAATCCGATTACCAACTTTTAATGTGGGACAACTAGTCGGGACTAATTCAGAGCACAAGTCGACCGAGACGTGCGACGAATAATTTACCACAATCTTCTTCTTTTTTCATAATTCCTAACGCCTTTTAAGACGGAATATTTATGATTTAGCCTCGCCCCAATCTTTAGACCCTCGGATTCCCAAGAGAGGATATAAAGATAATAAATTTGTTGTCCGCTTTCTGGATTTTAAAACACAATAGTTTTGTCATCGATTGTTGCCGACTTAATGAAAGTTTAATCAAGTGAACCATTATATTTGTAAATAAAGCAGTTTTTAAAATGTTTTGTTTATCGATTTGGCTAACACAAATACGGTTTTTCATGTTTAATTCTCTCAGAAATCAAAGTTGGATTAAGCTCAATTTTACGGCACTTTTCGATTTAAAAATCTAATTTGCAAGCAATCCTAACACAAAGTAAAAAATTAATGAATAAAAACAAAACATGCGAAAATGAAAATATTGAACAAAATTTGTGTTTAAAATTTTGTTTGTCATAAATCTTAAAATAATAAAAATTTGCAAAATAATCAAGAATGTTTCTAATAATAGCTGTAAATTGTCAACACAAATGACAAAGTCATTATACAACTAGAAAACAAAATTTTGTGGGACTATTAAAAAAATATACACGATGTGTGAGAACTCGCACCTCAGAAAAAAATTCAAAAGATATGATACCAGGAACAGGAAAAAAAATGTTTAAAAAATTCTATCTGTCAAAAAATTTTGATATTTAATTTTTCATATTTGACATTTTTTGGGGCGCGAGTTCTGGAGCACCTGTATATTTGTTACAATCACATTAACTGTTGATTTGTTTTCAAAAGAAACACTTAATTAATTTATTTTAAAACAACTTACAAGCTGTCCTAAATAAAATTTAGGTCCAAGTTAAGGAAAAATGCTAAAACAAGTCAATTTTAACGAAAAATTTAAATAGCAAGAGGGGTCGAGTGGCATTATTTTGAGATTTTTTTTAAGCAGTATATTCCTTAAATTGAATTGTTTTTTTATAAGCGCTTTTATTTTCCTCTCATAGTAATCTCAGAAAAAATTGTTCAAAATTGAAAAAACATGTGTCACTCGACCTCTTGCCATTTTTTAAAGGGATGGTCTGGGAATTCGAGGGATGCAGAAATAACTTTGAAACTTTGATAAAATTTAACTCCCTTTTAAGTTAAAATTGACCTGTTATAACATTTTTTCCAAGTTTAGACGAAATTAGAGATTTTAGGGGGTGCAAATTTTAGTTGGGACAGGCTGTATAATTATTACCTTTATCTTACACCAAAGCTAATTTTTGCAAAAATTAAGTGCTATTATTTAAGAAAAAGTATGCATTACTTTTTAACAAAACATGTTATATTTTGCTTAATAAAAAATATGGACTTTTTGATTAAAAAACTTAAAAATTCAAGAGTAAAAGTTAAAAAACATTCTTATAAAACATTTTATTTTAAAAGAATTTGAGATTTTCATTTTTTAGAAAAAATAAAATAGAAATATTCATTTTGCGATCTAAACAAACTAATTTTAAGCTTGTAGTTATCTTATTTCAATACATCTATAAAAATACATTCTCTTTTATACAAACTTTGCAAATTTTGTCAATTGTATTCACTACTCGTTGTCTTTTTTGTTCGTATAAAGTGGTAGCTTAGATTTTTTTTACTCACTTAAAATTTAAAATAAAATATACATATTTAAACTAGATTTTATTTGTTATGGCATTGCATTATTTCTAACGTATGTCAATTCAAAATTAAATTTTTACTCGTGCATTTCTGCAACTACTTGTATCATAATGACAATGACTAATGAGAGTATATGTAACACTTGCTTTTTAATATACTATTTTGTGTTTGCATTAATTTTGCTTTAACACTTTATTTTTTACGATAAATAAAATTAATCTTTGCTTTATACACTAGTGGATAAACTTCTAAGAAAATTTTTAAATTCAAAATCTAAAATGCAAGAAAAAAACTTTAATTGCCATTTCTGTATTTCTGTTGTTGTTAAATTTTGTGAAATAGATACAAAAATTCTAAATTAGTATAAAGATCAGTTTAGAGTGGATTTATTTAAGTTGTAGTTACTTAAAAATTGGAGTAAGGTAATTAGCGTCGTATTTTGCTTTGTTTACTTTTCATTTCAGTGCATAAATTTCGTTCGTTGGAGTAAAAAATCCTCTTAATGAACTCATTTCGAGTCAGTTGTCTACTCTTTGTTTAACATTTAGTGCGCACCACCACACCTTTGTGTAATTGAAATCCAGCCCGTGTTCAACAAGAGATTTTCCTTGAGTTTTCTCACAAAAATATTTACTGCACTTTTCAAAGAATTCCAACTTGGCAAAACTTTCCACTCTTGGATAATTTTAATAATGCAAATTGAAATGGTCGGAAAGTTCGCATTCTCTAACGTCTTCATTTAGATTTTTTCATCGTTCATTGAAGTGACCGGTTTTATTTGTAAGAAAGCTTACGGCCAAATGCGCAGATAATCGCTAGATCAGTTTTGCTGAACCTGAGGACGCGTAACGGAAAACAAATATTAGCTCAGCCACGTATTCGCGTGAATATCCTTACCTTCCCGTTTTAATTGCTTCCAGGCACCGCGAGCTTTTAGCTCGACTTGAAACTTTTCGTAAACAGAATCGCATTATGTTTGAAATTTTTCCCTTCAAACCTTCGAGCTTAATTGAAACTTGTTAAATAAACGTTTCGATGGTCAGTTTACTTTGCGAAATAGGTTTAGACCTCTAGAACCGCAATTTAAAACGGCGACAGATGGCGCTAGACTATTCAACTCACACTTACCAGCCATAGCCGTCTAGAATGTATCCATTCCTTGGATTTTGTGACACATTCACTCGCCACGTATTGATTGAGCAGATTGAAAAGGCTTGGAGCTTCTTGACAAGTCCAACAAGCTTTTCAGGATCATATATCAGTGTTTCAGTTATTTGAGGCTTCGGGGACGTAGTAATGGATGAAAATGTGAAATCAATAACTCTTTTATAATTACAAGGGCAGGAAACTGGGTTAAGCTCGATTACACCAAGTGCAGTTTTTATTATTGCTCACAAATTGATAAGTGGCTGTTTTTCCTGTATGTTTAATTACCCCCATTAAATATTGTAAGCTATAAAATCGCTCGCCAAATAAGAGATTAAATATTTACGCCCAAATTATTGAGTGATGAATTTTAAATAAAGGGATCCGTTTCGGTTATGACGGATTCCTGGCGTTTAATTCAACGCTTTATCAATAATCCACTTAAATCCATATACATATCCAGACTAATCATTTTTCACACAGATCATTTTATCCCTGACACTTTAAAATATTTATTTATCAACTGATTTTTTAGCTAAAGAAGTAAAAAGCTCAAAATCAAAAAATTAAATGTTTAATAATTCAACTTGTTTTTTAATTTTGTTTAATGTAGTTATGGATTTTTGGCTACAGAGTCGAAAATTT